GTATTTTAGGCTGGAGTGAAGTAGGCGACGAATAGAACGCCAAACAGAAAAATGACTGGCTTAAATTCAACAGGCATTAATAGTTGGAACTATGATGACAATTTATCTGATGTACAGGCAGTTAAAAGAGACAGGTTGAATGATAAATGTCACTGACGAAATAATGTAAAATAATACGTATTTGTAGTGTAGCAGACGTGGCCTTCCTTTGTAAGTAACAGAGAGGCCATCTGACAATTAGAAGCCATCTTTGCGCTCTGTGCTGAATTCCCTGGGAAGGCTGATGTCACCCGTCACCACTAAGCGGGCTGTTTTTGGTGAGACCTCGCGTAGACAAGTTCCACATCGTGACAGAAGGCGATTTACATGAAAGTTACGAGCCGGCGTGATAAACAAAGATGAAAGAACGATTCTCTGTAGTGCGACAGCACACCAGCGAAACCCTGTTGTCTCTTTGATCGCTTTCAAATCGGCCTAGTGTTTTTAGAACGTTGATAAATAGTATTAATTTTATTTACTTAAAACTGAATAACAATTGTCATCAGCAATCAATCTCTTGTCCACTGTACAGCCGACAAAAAGTGACCGACGCCGCCAGACTTGCCCAGCGAAAGAGCCGCTCCTGTTACTTACTCTCTCCCTTTTCCGTCAGGTACATTCACAGTAAACAGTCGATGCCACACTTGCCTGTCCCTCGTCCCACCTCCTCACATCTTGAAATATCTACGCCCTGGGTGATTGTCTTATCGCTGATTTTGCTTCTGTAACTTCCAGTTGGTCTACCCCTTTTTCTTTTCCCAGGTCTCCAATACCATGTCTGTTTGGTCAATCTTGTCTCTGGCATTCTAAAAAATGGTCTTAAGTGTCTCCATCTTCTCCTCTTTTGGTCATATTAATATCTTCAATTCCAGCTCTTTCCGTATCAATAATAATAATATATCAATTCCGTATTATTAAAGAATTTCTTCGTAAACATTTTGTTTGGAACCTTTCAATTTTCATAGAATTACTTTGTTTGTTTTCCTTATCTCTGTACCAGAGATCAGTACCCACCTCTCACTTCACTCAGTAACTTTATGCCCCCTTGGACGCCCTTAGAACTGAATCGTATTTTCCACTGTTGTCATCGGTGTACGAACCTCTTAATAAAGTGAGGAGTTTATTTATTACGCTTTCTTTCTCTAGTTGTCCAAAGCACCGATTGCTGCAGAGGGCTTTGTAAATCTTCCACTCGTATACTTTTATTTATTTCCAATATGGATTCTGACAAATGCTGCCGTGCACAAGTAAAATCAAAATAATGTTCAGGATTTCAAGACTGTCTACTCCACAGAGAGTGCTTTTAATAAAAATAACAGGCAGATTACCTGAGGCGAAGTAACAGCTGCAGATGAACATTAAATAAATAAGAAATGAGAGAATACAGTGTTCCCAAGTGGCCCCATTTCCAAAAATTGAGACGAGTGTTTCAAAGAGGATCTATTTGAAAAACATTGGGATTGAAACAGGGATGATTTCTTGAACTGTTGGTGGGACTATTCGTAAACATTTGTTAGTACATGTACTAGCTTTTGAAAGTGGAAAAATGAAAGAAATTAACAGAAGTCAACACGTTTCATTAAATCAGATGACTTTTTGCTTTCACGGTATGGGTAGTTCAGATCTCAAGGTTTCTTTCCCTTGCAGAAAATCTCTATCAGGGATTGTCTGTACTTGGTGTTAAAGTGATAGTAGACTGTTATATTGACGGAGGCGTTCAGGTAGGTGAATATCGTCATCACACCCGTAGTAAGCTGAAACAGGTTTCTATACTGACCACGACTGTCGTACTCTGGGATCGCACGACGGACCAAAGCCTTTATGGTGGTGAGAAGGGAGCAAAATACAAACATGGCGGCCACAAGAGAAACAGCTTTGACCACTTGGATGTCCTTGGTGCTGAGCTTCGACTGTTTTTTTCCGCTGTTGTCATCCGTGGGAGCGCTCGAAGCCATCATGTTCCGGGTCTGAGTTGCTGATTTGAGAGTAAAGGTGAGAGCTGCGAGACAGGTGATATTGATGGCTAAACATGTGTAGGGAACAACATTTCTGTTTGTGATGTCATGGAAGTACTGGACGTCTGGATATGCACCGGAGCGCACTAGAGTCAGCTTTGTCGTGTTTGTTTTCTTGTCCGTCTTCCATTGCAGATTCTGTGAGGCGATCAGTGGGATGTGGAGAGCCAGGCATACGACGGAAAGAACGCCCAGGACTGTGTAAGTCCTAGACAGAGTGAAGAAACTCCTGAACTGGAGAGCCAGGGTGACGCAGCAACATCTGGCTACGGCTATGTAGGTTGTGATCAAGATGGAAAGGTCGTAGAACAAAACGGCATACCAGACGATGTAGGAGTTGAGCGTGTAAGGGCTCTGGAGCCACTTGATTGGCCGGCCCGAAATTATTGTCAGTGTGCTAGGGATGAGATATGACAAAGTAAAAGACAAATAGACCAAGTCGGAGATGGACAAGGCGAAAAACGATACGTTCACACTGTCTCTCATTCCAATGCGGGCAAATACTAAAGTGTTGACAGTGTTCATCACGATTCCGCTGAAAGCTATAGGGATGCAGATGCCATACAAGACCTTTGTGAGAAGGATTGTGGTGTTGTAGTCTATGAGCCCTAATGCTTGCACCTGTACACGTGCCTCCACACCCGCAACAGCAGCAGTGGTGTTATCTAGTGCAGTATCCATCTTTCTATTTTTGCAAACGTTAAACAGTAGCCCTAAAGTTTAAAAATTAGTCTTCAGACTTTTGTCTGACAATTCGACGTTTGGAATCTTTTTTTTCTACATAAACGCGTGGTACCACAAATCAGAGTTTTACTGATTTAAGAAAAGCCCTTTGCCAATATAATAAGAAAATGTCTTTAATAATGAAGAAAACTCGTGCATATTTTCTTTAGATTACAACAAAAAGGAGTAAACACCGTGGAAACATCCCCAACTGTGTGGCAGACTATTCAGAAGCCTTGCCGACAGACGAGGACTTTTATTGGGCTGAAATTTAGAAGGTCTAATGTATAGCAAACGTTTAAAAGGTCACACTTTGTGTTGTTTGAATAAATAGGAAAACAAAGAATCCCTGCACAAGAGGCTGTTAATTTTTTTTTCAATCGTTACTTGCAGGACCCTTCGTGTAAGTTCATTATGAAAATAAATACCAACATGTAGGCCAACTATTAGACTCGTTACATATTATGATATTTGGCAATTCTGTGTAACATTTCCGGAGATATACATTTTCCCACGTACTTACCCTAGAGTGCCAATTAGTTTCATATAAAACCCAATTGAACTCACGAGACTGATTTAATTATAAAATTGCAATCTTTACCCCAGCACCCAATCCCGTCTTCTTTGTTTTTTCTACGGGTGAACAAAGATGTTCTGTTTTCTTTTTATAGCATAATTTGAAATAAAAACGAGTCCTTCCCCAACTTCGTTCATTTCTGAGTTCGAAACAATGTTTGATAAGCGATACTTATCTCAGGGCATCGAGGGATATAGCTGCTAAATAAAACATATTATTTTTAATTGTCTACGCACCCGATGAGACCTCATTAAAGTTTAAACTGATATTAAATACTAGATAATAATATGTGTATGTGTGTGTGTGTGTGTGTGTGTGTGTGTGTGTGTGTGTGTGTGTGTGTGTGTGTTATATGTATGTATGTGTGTGTTTGTGTACGTGCGCGCTTGTGCGCGTGTGTGCGTGGCGCGCGCGAGCGCATATGTGTGTCTATTAATTTGTTTTTTAACTCCTAGAATCTAACTGGCTGTTCATATTTTAATCGTTCTTCTATTATATTCTTAAGATTTTGAAGAAAGTAAGATATTCAAAATATCAGCTAAAACCGATTAGCAACCCCCCCCCCCCCCCCAACTTCCCCCAAACGTTCCCTCGCCTTTCCTGCCTTAAGGCGATATAGCCTACTCATAGTTCACAATTCAACCTCAACAGAAGTAGGGTCTACACTATTTTGAAAATGATAATACTGGCAATAAAAGCAGCAATAAAACCAACAAAAATAACTGCGGGAGCGAGAAATACACGAAAAGGAATATAAATACAAAACATGAACACTGTAGAGGCAACAACCGCTACTGTCTAAAAGAATAACATGAACATCACGAATAACGATCTAGAATTCAGACAGCAGAAATAACGGAATTAGCAAGAACAACAGCAGGAGAGAAAGTAGCAGGCAGCAACAGCAGCAGCAGGAGCAGCAGGAGCAGCAGAAGCAGCAGCAACAGCAGCAACAACAGTAGCAACAGAAGCAGCAACAGCAACAACAGCAGCAACAGAAGCAACAGCAGCAGCAACAACGGTAAAGACAACTACAACAACAGCTATATAAATGAACGTACGAAAAACACTGTGACACAACCGTGTAAGGAAACAGGCAAACCCCTTTCATTCCTCTATTATTTGTCTGCTCAAGGTTTTAGTGTTTTTAGTGGATACGCTCCTGATACAAAGCAGAGAACACAATGGCACAGCAAACGCAACCAAGTGGGTGAGTGGCGGGTGTTCTGGTGTGGTTTGGTCCTTCTTTCCTATCAAACATCTATTGTCCTGATCTCTCCTCCTTCTTTTTTGTGTTAGTTACTCTCTTGTAACACCTCTAATTTTCGGCACTTATATGACCTTATTGTGTTGCAATTGCCGTAAAACTCTTACTCAAACTAAAACTAAAACGCTGCCACCTAGCAATAGGCCTAAGTGGGCACCGTAATGTAAAGCCGTCATGATTCATCGTGTTTTCCAGGAAATTTGCTTTGTGGCTTCTTACGTAACAACACGTTTCTCGCAGATCTGTTTCAGTTTCATTTTCGAAATTATATAGGCCTATTTCCCGTCAAGGCCAAAATGATATAAGGTTTTACCTAGATCTAGATCTATATCTGCGCAGTTTATCAGAGCAATGTGCCAGGATCTGAGACAATAAAGATTTATCTTAAAATAGACTGTGAAGTGGAAATTCCAGGAAAAGTAGATCGATTCAAATGTAGAGCGCTTCTGCAAAAGATATCAGAGCAACGTATAAATGCGTCCGTATCGATAATGTTGAGACTGTTGTTTTCGTTTTCAGTGTGCACTTCGCCTAGGACCACTGCTGTTGTGAGACGAAGTATATTAACACAGAGCTGGAACATTCTAGTCACCGGAACAACGAAAGGTAGATCTAGAATGTCTTTAGTGTCTGCATGTATATGTGTATGTATATGAGTTTAAATGTTGGTGCGTGTGTGCGTGTGGGGTGGGGGTTGTGTGTGTGTGTGTGTGTGTGTGTGTGTGTGTGTGTGTGTGTGTGTGTGTGTGTGTGTGTGTGTGTAATGATCACCATTAATTAATTAATTCTTATATTTCATTTTAGAGTAGTCTTAGTAGAAGTCAACCGCTTTCATTTTGAAAGAAAAAAGTCCTGCTTGATTATTCTTTTCGATGAATACCGTATTTGCTTTGTTATCAGCGCAGTCAGATGAGACAGCTATGTATTTTTAGTTATATCTCTTTTATTATTATTGTTACAATTATTTTTTTGTTGCATCTTTGAGTTTTGTTTGAGCTTGGGATTAGAAGAGACTATTCTTTGTTTGTTCTTTTTGAAACATTCTTGTAGTTTAGACTGGATGAGAAGCACTAGTCACATGATCTCAGCAGTTCACGCTTGTTACATACAGCTTACAGGGAAGAATATATGATGATGATTTATAATGTATTTGAAGACATAAATAAGAAGAGGCTGCATTATGGTTCTCGTGCTATATATTGTAGCCTTCTTTTTCTTAAACATATTTTCGTAGTAGGTGGTCGGCAGGTGATCTGGTGTAGTTTTTTTCTTCTTTCTGATCAAACATCTGTCGTCTTTATCGCTACTCCTTATTTTCTTTAAAGTTTCTTTCTGGTAGTAATACATCCGATTTTCGGCACTAGTATTGTCTGTTTTTTATATTGTAGGTGCCGAAAAGCTCGTACTAAAAACTAAACAAATGTTTTCGTTCAGAGGCCTATGGTGAAATAAAAATTATAGATAGGTTAAGGTTCTTCGAATTTAAGTCGAAATTAAATGGCATGAGTTCGATTCGTATGATTGGAAACCTATTTTATCCAGTTTTTGTCCTTCTTTCTACTTCATTGATGCAGCCTACAGCCTACTCTGTCTGAATTGGTTGCCATTGGAAGGGTCTAGGCAGCCAGCTGTCTAGTTGATCTAAATTTTTGTCGACATTTGTTTCTTTATTCATTTTTAAAAAATTGATGATAATTAAAGGGGGGGGGTGCGTAAAATACATTCACAAGCTATCATTGGAAACATTATTATTTCATCTTCGGAGTGCCAGTATGAAGGAAAAAGTTGAAACAATACAGACGCCTCTCAGTTTTAGAAACTATATCGTACTAAACACTTATAGGCTACATCTTTAAACATGTGTTACAATTCCTCGCTTTTTTTCTCTGTTGTACAATAATTTGTACATTTTGTACATATGCTACATAATGAATAAGTACAATATTCGGAGGCAGAATGTCTATGTACAGATCGGAATTTAACCGACATACTACGTTTACTCGCGATTCGAACGTCGGGGAATTATCTTTTGGAGGGAAGCAGTTACTATTCTCAACTGCTACTTTGTTTCTATTTCTAGATTTTTTTTTAAAACGAAGGAGGTGTGTGAAATAATGGTTATTTTGTTTTAATTTATTCTCTGATCAATTCATTATGGTAGTTGTTGCTGATGTTACAGTTATTATTGTTATATATTTGCCTTTCTTTGTTTGTTTGGTCTGTGCGTGAATGTAGGGTGAAAGGAGGGGG